ATTGTAGAACATTCCCCCCTTTTCGGTTTCCCCCCCCCCCCCAAAGTTCAACATCCGCAGAATCAACAAGCTGGTTCTAGCTTGAATGTTCCTCTTATCTTCCCACTCCCAATATATCTTCAGATCATGGGGTTTACCCCTTTTAGTTTTGTATAATAAAAAGGCTATTTGAAGATATTGTATGCACTCTGAGTGATAGCTATCGTCGTTCACTTGCTTATCCCCTCTCGTCAGCCTATTACTCCCTACGCACCTTACATATCCGGATCTACTTTGCACGCTTTAAACTGGACAGCTTCACAATGCTTTGCTATATTATCACGACTCTGGAGATAAATCTACTCGTTTTACTGTTTTACAGACAGTGAGTTACAAAATACTAGTAGTCGGTCAACAATTCCACTGATGGATTACACAAGCGTAATACGCATTGGTACCGGCAGATTCGTTTTTCCTTTATGAAAGAATGAGTTATTAGACAATCATTTTTCCTTAAAAGGACAAAAATAGATGGGAAAACACTACACAGTAATAAACAAGCATTCAGCATGAGAAACTGGAACTCAAGGAACTCACCGTATTTGAAAGGCAAACCAGTAAATCTCCATCGTGTTCCACTACTTTGAAAGCATCGCTACTAGTCTAAAAACGACGATATATTCATTCACACAACTTACCAAAGTTTTGTGGATATTTGGATGCCATGAGTTGTTTCCTTTACGTGGTTGAGTTGTTAACTCTTCCCAAAACTCCTCTAAGAAAGGTATTAATTCCTTTTCTTTAGAAAAATACAATCGGCCATTGTTTCTCCACATCAAATTCGCCAATGCCGTTTGACACATCACAGCGAAATTGGCTTGTTTCCTAGAGAACACTTCCTCCCCGTTCGGATTACACTTTTTGCACATGAAATGATACGCAGTTAAAAAAGGTAATGATTTTCTACACATTTTGCCAGAGCATAACACGATACTTACCCTATATTGAAAGCAATACAGTCCAAATGGAACCATCGATAGCATACACTGCATTGAAAATCGGCCACGCTAAAGTTTCTTGGACTCATGCTGGAGGAACATTAGTAAGAACCAATTCCGCGAAACCCCACCAGTAACATTGCGGACCGGATGGTAAGTCGAAACTGATGGATTTTTCCAAATATTCTTTAGGGTCAATTGTGGACTCATTTGGTTTCGTCGTGGGATTCACAGACTGTTTTTCAGATTCTTCTGTCTATAAGAAGTATCATATATCAAGATAAAGCAAAACAAACCATCTTTGGACAAGTGACGTCAAAGATGAGATCTGGGAAGAGAAATAGGAACAACTTTCCTGTAATGAGATGCCGTTTTCACCTTTTTGCAAAAACACTATGATAGCAAAAAGTCCATTTTTAGCTGAGAAATCGGTCCATGGAATCTCTCTTTTCATCATTTTATTTTCTCCCTTGCTCTAACCTGTATATTTTTAACGGAAATGTAGGCATTTGCGTACATAACTTATTATAATACAATACAGTATGGCACAACATCCTTGGCGTCAACGATCGTCATCATCTGCATAGTTTTTTCTTCCATTCCAGGCTTTAGTCTTTTAGTTCTATATCTCGTGAGCACCTAACTTGCATAGGCATTGGTTTACTTAAAATAGATGGGAAGGAGGGTTTGCCAAATGGGCACCTAAGACGTTAGGGCACGACATACTTCGCGGCAGCCTGCACCGACGAAGGGGTTTTTCTTTGGGAACCCTAACCGGAGCCTTCGATTCAAATTCCGACCCACAAGGCATCATAATCATCATCGTACAGCGAAATACAGTCAAGCTAGCTTCACTGACCGCTGCCAAACTCGCAATGCATACAAGGTTAGCGGTAAAATTTAAGGTGAACAGGGATTGGAGCTATTTTGAGGGAGGGAGAAGAAGGTAAGTCACAATGGTCAACACATAGAGTACGCAATCGAACTCTGCATACATACCGTCTAAAGCATTCTGACCTGATAAGAAACGACAACAAGAACGCCACTGCTGCCGGTTCGCTGCCATATCCTTCAATGTCTCCAACCAACCCAGTTGTGGAGTCTTTCGGACCCCAACCTGGAAGGAGAGAGACACATACTCTACCTAATGGTTCTGTGCATTTCTTCATGCCTCGTCTCCACGTCATCTGTTGACCTCCACGTGGTTTCCTCCAACCCGGATTAGCTACAGCGAATAAAACGCGGTGCGGCAGACGATGGCTGGGTATACGGAATACGTGCCCTAGCCAGCGAAGCCTAGCAATCTGAATTTGGTGTGCTAGCAGGTTTATACCTGACAGACTCCCAAACACACGACGGCTTACCTCCACGTTACTAATCCGTTGGCTCCATCCAACATGGGCCAAACTGCGTAAACACCAATAATCGAAAACTTATAGTCGATGGATATCTTCTACTCGCAAATTCAGGGCCTCACAACCGTAAAAGAGGACTGCACGAACGCTAGCACAATATACACCTTTCAACTTCAGTGAAACGTCGCGTATACGCCAAAGGTGTTTTAGTCCTGCGTATGCTGCTCAAGCCTTGGAAATGCGGGAGGTTACCTATTTTGCTGCACTACCGTCAATGGTCACGCAACTACCTAAGTAGGAAAAGTAATCTACCACAACTAAATCCTGGCCATTTAGTATCACAGTGGGAGTAGATGAAACCCAGTCCTGCAGCAACACTTGGCAATTTGAAGGTGCAAAGCACATACCGAATGTGGCCACTGCACTTGCTAATCTATCTAGTGCACTTTGCGCGTCCTCCATACATACGAACAGACAGACGATATCATCGGCGTACTCCAAATAGCATAGCTTTCTCTAGCTGTCCATTCAATACCTACTTTTTGGAGTCCCCTTAGTGCGCTCTCACCCACAAGGCAGTGGAGCGCAAATCCAACGCAGGAGCGTGAACGAAGCACCCGTGTGGGAGCTTGTGAAGACCTGTCACGCATGGCCTTCGGGTTTCGGTTAAGTTTGTTGTCCTGTGGTTCGTTGATTATCGGTCCGCTTTTCGGGATTAGCCCTGTCTCATGCACCCAGTGAGACAAGCGGAAAGTGGATGTGACAGCACCTTATTGACTGGGGGCTGTCCAACTTGGGCAGGCGGTAGCTGTCCAATGAAGTGGGAAAAGTTCTCCCACCTTACTGTGAACAGTAGACAAAATGAACCAAATCGTCACATCAATCTGATGTCCGGTTGTACGAACCGATAAGCGCTGAGCGTAGAAAAGCAATGAAAATTTCTACGACCTAAATTAGATATTGTACTTCAGATTTCCAAACAAAATTCCCCTAACTAAAAGATAAGTCATCATTGTACAGCCTAATTGGAGGGAGAAAAAGAAAGTGAATCTCTATGGTCAACAAACAGAGTACACAATCTATGTGTGCATACGTACCTTTTCAAGCATTCGGACCTGATAAGAAATGACAACAAGAACACTACTGCTGTCGGTTAGTCAACATATCCCTCACTTTCTCCAACCAGCCAGTTACAGAGTCTTTTAGACCCCAACCTGGAAGACGGGAGACCGCTTCTAATTAATCACTCTGTGCATTTCTTCATGTCTCGCTTTCACGTCATCTGTTGACCTCCACGCGATTTCTTCCAATTTTCGTCCAAATTTAGGCTCTCGTGAACATGGAGCATGACTAACAGCACACTGGCGCAGTATATACAACCTTTCAGTTTCAACGAAACACCGCGTCTGGACCAAAGGTGTTTCAGTCCTGCGTAAGCTGCTCTAGTCTTCGAAATGCGAGCAGTTACTTCATTGACTATACTACCGTCCTTTGTAACGCAGCTACCTAAGTAGAAGAAACATTCCAAGACGGCTAATTCTTGAACATCAAGCATCAGTGCCGGGGTAGACGACACCCAGTCTTGGAGCATCACTTTGCACCTTCAAGGTGCAAATCGCATGCTGAAAGGAGATAAAGAACTTGCTACTCTGTTAAGAGTTCATTGCGCATCCTCCTTGCATTCGAACGAGCAGACGATGTCATCGGCGTTCTCTAAATCGCACAGCTTTTCTCCAGCTGCTCATTCAATACCTACGTCTTGAAGACCACTGAGTGCTTTCTCCAGTATTTCGTCTACGACAAAGTTGAATATGAATGGCGAAATAGGCCACACTTGAAGAACACCGCTCCTGGTTTCGAACGATTTACTTAGTCCATCGGAAACTCTTACACTACCAGAAGGATGCAGGTACAACGACCGCAATAGCTTTACATACTTCCGCGGCATTCCTTTGCGAAGCAGCGACCCCGGAAAAGCTTCAGGGTCAACTGAATCGAAGGCTCCTTTCAGGTCAAGGAACACAGCGGTTGTCGGCCGGTGATGTGTGTGACGCAGTTCGAAGACTTGATGCAGAGTGAAGCCTTGGTCGATGCAACCGCGACCTAGTCGGAATTCAGCCTGTTGTTCACGGATATTCATCTCCCTTAAGGGTCTCAGGCGGCGAAGTATCACAGAAGTCAACACTTTTGTGATTATTGAAACTAAACTAATCCCGCGGTGGTTTGCGCAGTCGTTGCGTGATCCCTTCCTGAAGATCGGGACGATCAACAATGCAGCTAGGGGCAAAGGGATACGCTCCTCCGATCACATGCTGCGAAGTAAGTTAGCGATCGAGTCGATAAGA